GGAGAGGGATTGACGATTGATGATGATTATATTATGATGATGATGATGATGATGATGGTGATGATGAATGATGCTGATTATGATTATGATGAGGGAGGAGGAGGAGAGGAGGAGGAGGAGGAGGAGGAGGAGGAGGAGGAGTGACGATGGAGGAGGAGACGGAGGAGCATGGGAGGCAACGACAACGAGAAAAGACACCTCCACCCCAGGACCTTCGACACCTCGGTCGGCGACGCCATCCGGTCCCTCGCCGAGGCCGTCCACGGCGCGCGCCAGCTGCATGTGGAGGTGGTCAAGGAGGACCCCGTCCGGGTGCGGACCCTGGCCACCCGCGTCGAGGAGGAAAGGGGAGGAATGAGGCAGAGGAGTGATGAGGACGGAGGAGGAGGAGAAGGAGGAGAAGGAGGAGGACCAGGACGAGGACCAGGACGATGAATGAGGAGGGGAGGGAAGAGGAGGAGGGGGAGGAGGAGGAGGAGGAGGAGGAGGAGGAGGAGGAGGAGGACGAGGAGGAGAGGAGAGGAGGAAGGCGGAGGAGGAGGAGGAGAGGAGAGGGAGGAGGGAGGAGGAGGAGGAGGAGGAGGAGGAGGAGGAGGAGGAGGAGGAGAGGAGGAGAGAGGAGAGGAGGAGGAGAAGAGGAGGAGGAGGGAGGAGGAAGAGGGAGGAATAGGAGGAGGAGGAGGAGGAGGAGGAGGAGGAGGAGGAGGAGGAGGAGGTGGAGGGGGAGGAGAAGGAGAGGGAGGAGGACTCAGCTTTTACCATTACTCTCTGTAGCTCCTGTTCCCCACGGGCCTGGCGCCTAATTCTTTCGAAATTGTCCAGAACTGCGCTAAGTCGATATTTCTTCTGCACCTGCGAGCATCATGCGTAGAGTCTTACCAACGTCGAAAAGGTAGGAGAGGGAGGAGGAGGAGGAGGAGGAGGAGGAGGAGGTTTGGTTTGTTTGTCCTCGGAGGCGTGAGTCAAGCTCACTACTGCGGGGCGAGTGCCGCCTCCAGTGGAAGCAAGAGCTGAATTGGTCCGTTAAAGGCCCATGAGCGTGGGCCTCATGAGGGCCCACAACTTCAGTGCAAAACGCACACAAGTGGGGTCGCAATGAGACCCGATTGTGCTGACTGATCGGCATTCCTCCCTGCGCCTCCCACCCGCCTCCTCGTTCACGGCCGTACACGGCGCCCCACCGCACGAATGCGGGCGCCGGCGCGGCAGGGGCGGGGGAAGTGAAACATAGAAGGAAAGAACACGAGGACCAGCAACGGAAAGCACGAGAAGTCCCAGCACCAGTATACAAACCCTACCATCCATAATGCAAGGGTGACTGTCGAAATCCAAACTATGAAGTGCTTGACACGGCTTAACCTGCAGTCCACTTGCGTTCGACGTGCATAAGCTAGCAGCTTCTTTATACACAAACAGGGCAGGGCGCCATACGTAGGAGGAGCCAAACACTTGCATAGAGCAAGTATAAGGAAGTCAAAACCAATGGCTCTGGCGCAGCAGGCGATCTGACGAAATTGTTGAACAGTAGAGAGCTCCATAAATCCTATCCGGCATTCTCGGTACCCCCCAACCCCCGTTCTCCCAAAGTAGCAGCCTTAAGAAGCAGTGCTGCTCCCAGAGACACGCAAGGCACAGCGTCAGGCTGGGGGGGAGAACGGTATGAAACGCAGCTTGAAGCAAAATCAAGACATGCAACGTTACAAATGCGAGGGCGAAAGGGAACACGACAAACGTGGGAGAACACCAAGAGGTTCATGGAGACGCACGGGAAGTCCCAAGGGGAAGAGGGCGAAGATGCTGCCTCTACGTAACTGGATACGATGATTAGGGCATTGAGGACCGAAATCCCAATGAGAAACAAAGCGTCCGTCGACCAGTTCTGAAATGCTAGTCGATGTTGACACCGATTAGTTAGCGAAATGTCGTGGAGCGCGAATGAGGAGTTCCACTGGGGAAGGGAGCAGGGAACGCACAGGCCGAGCAAAGGAAAGTGCATACACAGATGGATGATGCGGCCTCGATCCCGGCCCTTGACTAGACAATTCGTTGAAGACGTGTGAAGCCTCGCTGGCACGCTTATCGAACCTCTGGACCCAGCATTTTGTACATAGAAGTCCTGTGTCGAGTTTGCACAACCTCGCTCCTCTCCAAACGCCGTCAAACGTGAGCTCGTCACAGAAGCGCATTGCAGCAAATCGGACGGTTTATGCTGCAAACGATGGTAACGACCGCTGTTACTTCTCATGGCAGGCCACTAGTTTCTGATACGAGCTGCAGGTCGGCGGTGCCACAGATGATACGTCCACCCGGTATGGCTTGTTCTTCTTGCGCCAACCTCTGACCTGTCTGTTTAAAGAAGCATTAATTGAATGAGGAGGACGTGAATATTGCGGGAGCCTGGCATGTTCACAAGCATTGGCGAAAGATTGCCCAGCCAAGAGGCCCTGGCGACATCCGTTTAAGTCGCCCTCCTGTCTGTCAGGGGAGCCGTGTTTAAGATACCTTCCAGGGCCAATCGGTGGCCACGTGGTACGAGGAGAAGGCGCATCGTCATCCCTACGGCATTGAAACGCACCATCCGCCTTTCTACGAAGATGCCTTGCCCAACTCGGCGACAGAATGCTGATGGGGACCTGGAGCGCCATTGGGGGAGCCCCACTGGCGCAGGCGAGGGTTGGGTACTTGTGCAAGGCTCACAGGAAGGCTCTGAGCCTGACTCGCAACCCCTCACTCGGCCAGCCTCAGGATGAACGCGGTGCTCCTGATGGGCGGGCTGTGCCTGAGCACGCTGTCTAACACGGCCTGGGCCAGCAAGAGGCTGAACCCCAAACTGCCCAGGTGGTGGAGCCAACGGAACCGAGCTCGGCCACGCCTTCGCGCTCGAGCTGGTAAGAGGAGCAGGAACTGGCGGAACTGGTGCCACACAAGTAACGCAGGGTCAATGGGCTTCAGGGGATGAAGGAGTACACCACTAGCCGACAATTCCACTGAAGACGAGCCTTTTGATGCAGATGAAAAGCACTCTGCGGGTGAAGGTGGAGGTGTAGGCGGAGGTGCTGCTGCCTGCTGATCACGACGTGGCGGTGGCGGAGGTGTGGGCAACCGACTCCCCGAGGGGGGCCCAGTGAGTCTGCATGCCACGAACCGCCGCTGCAGTCAACCCAACTCGAAGAAGCAATAAGAACACACGCCAGACTGTCGGTCGCGGTCGGCCTTTCAATCTGCTGACGCGCTATAAGTACCGTGCGTGGAAAGAAGTGCAGAGACTGTGAAAAGGGCCCCCCCCCCGCCACTTCCGCCACAGGCCCCGGGCAGGACCCGAGGCGGGAATTTATTAGGAGATGGCGGGCAGCTCGCGCACGGAGCCTTTTGGAGGAGGAGGAGGAAGGAGGTGGAGGAGGAGGAGGAAGAGGAGGAGGAGGAGGGAGGTGGAGGAGGGGGATCCAGCGCCGATCCGAGAAAACCGTGCGGGCTTCAGAAAGGTGATTTTGATGCATCGTCTTTCGGCTCTCTAGACAGGAGCCCCTGCCTCTTCTGGACAGGACTGGTCTTCTGTGCCGCCGCGGGCGTTGCCCGTCTGGGGCGGAACGTCGCTTGCACAGCAGCGGCCGCTACCAGTCTTGGTCATCCTTTGCCGTTGGCTCTGAAGGTTCACGCTTGGCGTGTCGCGGCGGCGGCCCTCCTCAGGGCGGGGCGATGGGACAAGCTGGGGGCGTTGACGCTCTGGGACCAGGGCGTGATTGGCGTGTCGCGCCGACGCGTGGTGGGCCAGACTCGGCAGGGCGACGCTTTTTTTTTGGTACGTGGGCGCGCGAAGCGGGTCGAACGCCGGGCGAGCAGGGGCAGGCTGTGCCACCGGCTAAGGGAAACACAGAGATGCGAGCGACGCTAGGCAGTGAGCGGGACGGAGCTCAGCGCGGCCAAAATAGCGCGGAGGGCACCTCACAGCGGCGCAGAAACCACGATGAGGAGGACGCCGAGCTGAAAGCCGAAGCAGAAGAGGAGCCCCACGGCGACGATGACGTAGGCCACGTAGATCCAGGGCGGCGGCGCGACACGCGAAGCCGATGTTTTTTTCTGCTGCAGGCGGCGGGGTGCGCGGGGGGATCTCCGCGCCTGCCCCGTGTGCAGGCGCTCGCCTTTTGTCGTCTTCCATGCGCGCACGTGCGCCCCCCGTGGAGCAGAGCGGGAGGGAAAGAGGGGGATGCGACTCCCCGTCGGACCGCGGCGGCGCACGGAGGGCGCCCTTCTGCAGGAGGGGGGAGGGGAGAGGGAGGAGGGGGGAGGAGGGACGAGTGGGAAGGAGCAGGAATAAGAGGACCGGGACGAGGAGGAGGGGGAGGAGGAGGAGGAGGAGCCCTTCTTCTCATGCGTCCCTACAAGTGACCTCTTTCACTGCGAGAAGCGTCCCCCTGTGAAAGGCCAGCACAGTTGGGGCTGCCTTTTTTGGGGGGGGCCCCGCGTTGAAAAGGCACTGCCTTGCATCTCTTTGGCGGATCACCGGGAACGCGAGCAATTTTGATCCTACGGTTCAACGAGGTGCGTTCCTCTCCATACTGCTGCCGGTACTTCCCAAGCTTACGCTTGCGGCCATGAGCTTGAAGGAATTTTCAAGCGACAGCACTCAAGCGATAGGAACTTCGAAAACAGCGCCCTGGATCCAGGCAGCGCTTCATGTGTTGAAGTTTCGTGAAGTTTCGGGTCTTTCAAATTTGCGAAGTCCCCAGCGAGAGTTCAATTTTGATTAAGAGCAGACTGTGAACTCCCCAAACCTTGTATTCAAATGCGAATGTGCGCGGCGCTAGGGCGAACCCCCACTGAACAGGAACCGCCATGCATCCGTGAAGCTGTTGCAGACTGTGTAAGACATGTGCACGGCGCTTAAACGAGAGCGTCAGTTGAGAATAACCTCTCTTCCATCCCTGAAGCAGCTACTAAAGTTTAAGAGGAATGTGCGCGGCGCTGGGCGAGAGCCACATTTTGAAAATTGCCCTCTCCCTCCTTCCCTGAAGTTGTTACACTAATTCCAGACGATCGTGTGCAGCGCTAAGACTAGAATCACATTTTGAAGGCTGCTCCCTCCATCCCTGAAGCTGTTGCAAACGTGTAAAGCGAATGCTCACAGCGCTAAGGCGCAACCCGCATGCTTTGAACGACATGTGCCCCATGTCTGAGGAAGGTGCGGTTTTTAAGACGAATGCGCGCGAGGCTAAGGCGAATGCCGCATTTTGAAAACGATTCCCCCCTCCATCGTCTGACCTGTTGCACATGTTCAAATTGAAGGTGCGCGGCGCTAAGGCGAGAGTCACATTTTGAAAACCACC